CTTAAAATCCAGTAGACTCTCTGTGTTACTATCTAAGGCCAAGTGCAAGTGTTTACCCTAGACAAAAGATGGTAGTAATTACAGGATCAAAACAAATCTATTGTCTCTGTGTCAGATTATGCTAACAGTGTGAGCTTAAAATAAACTATCAACGCCAGGGCTATGTCTGTAGGTAGATGTTAAAGCTTCATGGTTTACATCTGAGATAGGTCAGATGCTGTGCAGTGAATACTGCCTCCTGGACTGTGAGAGCAGTCCTGTAAGGCTTTGATTGTGTAAGAATTTGGTGGTTGGGTTAGTCTCTCAGCCCAATATTGCCTTGTCTTCCCTTTAATATTTTTTATGATGTGTGTGTGTTACTATTTCTTCCTATGAAGTCCACTTACAGGTACTTTAGATCACCTTTGCTCCTAAGTTAAACATTGGGCTGGTTGGTGAAACAGTTAAATAAACACCTTTGTTTTATCCCCACTTTACCATTGCACTAAGGGAGCCCCCCTTCTAGAAGGAGGAGCTCAATTTGGCCTCCAGCCTGATGCTTCTTTCCTTAACCATGATGCTTCTGTTCTGTGACATATAGAGGGAACCCTGGGCTGGTGGTAAGTTGCATGCCTCCCAGGCTTCACTGTCACTGCTTTAGGCGTGTGACCCGAGTAAGCCGTTTGACTACCCAAGTAGTTTTCTCATCTATGAACTGGGAATAGTAATGTCAATGTACTCTTAGGATGATTATGTGTTTCGAAGGGCTAATCCTTTTGTAAAGGAGGCTTTGTTCAGGACCCTTAATGCCCATTAGACAGACTAATGATAGAATGGGCAAGACTTACTAGGGTTACAAGTTGTCATTAGGTGGAGGGGGTGAGGCTGGGTGGGAAGGACCTTTAGCCTTGAGAATGGGATATAGGGCAGGTCATGGGCATTGCAGGCTGGCTGGGGAACTTCGCTTCTGGTGCCAGGCTATGTGTTGGAATCGGAAAGGGTGCAGGTCTATAGTAATTCTGAGCCGTGCTGAGAAGTGCCTGAACTTTCGATGCTATTAGAAACAGTGCTATGAAACATCCTTTCTGAAAAACAAGTTGCTTTTCCAAACTTGTTGAGCCTTGACTGTACTGTGGCTAGAGCCCCAAAATTTTCACCTGTCATGCACTCAGCCTTGCTCATTGTTTCTGATGAGGAGGAGGGCTCCTCACATGTTGGTGCTGTAATTTAGTAAATTCGTATTCTAAAGATCTGTTTTTCTGTACCTCCAATGGCAAGTCAAACTGATAGCTAAATGTAAATTTAAAAATCAGATTAATATTTGAATATCTATTACTTGCTAATTATTATAAGGACTATAAAGATGTTTCCTTTTATCTAGTTAACAGACTGAAGAGTCTATTAATATTAACAAAGGACACATAAGCCTGTAAAAATTAAGTGCTTAATGTTTCCGTGTAGATGATGAGAGAAGACATGATCAAAATATATTTACTCTCGGCCTTGGAACTTTTTTTTTTTTCTTTTTGAGGGGGAGAGAGAGCATGTGCAGGGGAAAGAGAGAAGGAGAGAGAATCTTAAGCAGGCTTTATGCCCAGCATGGAGCCCCATGCTCATGACCAACTGTGAGATGATAACCTGAGCTGAGACCAAAAGTAGGATTCTTAACTTGTGACTGAGCCACCCAAGTATCCCTGAAAAAAAATTAGTAGCTATTACTCTGGTCAGTATAATTTTACATTTTTTTCCCAGCTTGATTGAGTTAAAATTGACAAATAAAATTGTAAGCTCTTTCAATTGTACATTGTGCTAATTTGATAAACATTGTAGAAGGATTTTAGTTACGGAGTTAATTAACCTATCTCCCATGTCACATATTTCTCTTTTATTGGTGAGGACATTTCAGTTCTACTCTTAGCAAATTCCACTTACATAATTCAGTGTTCCCAACTAGTCACCATTGTACATTAGATCCCCTGACTTTATTCTTCTTATGGCTGAAACTTTTTCCCCTTCAACCAACCTCTCGTTATTTCCCACACCTTACTCTTGGCCTCACAATAAAAATTCATTCAGCAAATATTTATTAAACCCCACCATGCTAGAAAACTAGGTCCTGAGGGATGGAATGGGATCAGGTACCATTCCTGTTTGCAGGGACCTTGGAAAGTAGTGTGAGAGCCCTCCTGACACAAATCCTGGGGTGGAAGCAAGTGTGGGTATGGTAACAGAAGATGAGGCTCACAGGACAGTGACCTGGCAAGAAAGGCTTTACAAAGTTCTGATTCTCAACAGGGCTTTCCGTCCCCTACGTATGTAGGTATATTTTAACATATCTTGTTGAAGTGGAGGTTGTGATTCGATATGAGTGGCAAGGATTTAAAGGTCAGCTTTGTAGCCACCAGGCAAGATAGGGGACTGCAAGGAAAAGAGGCTAGTGCATTCTCAACAATGGACATTAACAGAAGAAGAGACTGAAAAGGCCTGGAGGAGTAAAAATAAGGGGTGTGTGTGTGTGTGTGTGTATACAGGGACGGGCATGGCAAAGCATAATGGGGGAGAAGTTGGTTGGAATCAACCCTAGGACTGCCATATAGGTCTTTAAGTATTAAGAGAATCAAAAATAAAATAAGATCATCTTATAGGTAATGAGGAGTCACAAATTTTAGATTGGGTCATGACCTCTTCTTCACGTTCAGGAGTTTAACATGATGGAGTTACAAAGGATGGAAGGACTTTAGGAACCTATACAGCTGTTACAGCAAAATATAAGGGACAGATTGAGGATTTGTAGGATTTAGATTGAGAGGAAGAAGACCTCTTTGAAAAGAAAGGATGTGCCTCGTGAATCAGAATAGTACCTCCTGGTAGAGTGCTTGTGTGGCTCCGTCATTTGAGCAACCTCTTGATTTCGACTCAGGTCATGACCCCGCAGTTATGGGATCAAGTCCCACATCCGGCTCTGTGCTGAGCATGGAGCCTGTTTAAAATATTCTTTCTTTCTTTCTCTCCCCCTCTCTCTCTTCCCTGCTCATGCACTCACACACTTTATCTAAAAAAAAAAATATATATATATGTATGTATGTATGTATCTCCTGGTGTCAGAACACTACATTATTTGTAGCAGAGCACACACCAATGTAAAAGAATAGTGTGTGAAAATTAATAACAGGAAACCTGACTCAGGTGGAATCAGGGGGAGCTCTCATGCCTTACCACCACTTTTTCCATAGTAATCCCAACAAAAGACACTAACCTTGCAAGTGGATATTACTTTATTATCTCAGTTGGAGGAAGGAAGGCTCCCTCCCCTCTCCCCACAGCAACAGCCCAGCCAATGAGGGCCAGTCCCACCTCAGCCAATGAGAAGCCACTCTCCTTCCAGCTCCCAGTTTATTCCCCTGAACTTCTTACTTTCAACAGCCTCCCCAAATTCACACGGTCCTCTATAAAAGAGCATGCCTCTCCTATGTTTGACAGACTTGCCTGGGGCTTTGCTGTAGCTTGCATGTCTCAAATTGCAATTCTCTGCCATTCCTGAATAAACTCATCTTTTGCTAATAAAATAACTGACGTTTTGATTTTTACGGTTAAGAAGTACAAGGATGAGGCTGGAGATTGGTAGAGTTTTAATGTGAGTGACTTTAAATGACAGATCTAAGGAGTTTAACCTCCTTTTTTCTCTGTTAAGATGAAATCTCTATGAGCAATACAGCAATGAGCCATTACTTCCCAGAAATACGGTTTCACTCACCCCGGTGCCAGTAAGAATATGTGACCCTGCTGTTTTTTATGTAAGGTCTTTTTCAACTCTTTATAGTTTTGTTGTGGAATACTCGTAACATGGAGAGTCTTTGTGCTAGATTATATGGGGACCTGGGGGGAAAAAAACCAACTGCAGTGTTCTGAGGTTGGGGAAAAGGAAAATTGGAGTTACAATTAGCCTAAGTAGGGAGAAGGGTATCCAAGTGTCCAAATTGAAATATTCAACAAGGAATTTAAAATGCAAGTGGCATTGGTATTTAGAAGGAGGATAGGCTACAGGTGAGAATTTGGGATTCATCCACACGGGCAAGGATTGGAGTAAAGTAAATAAAGCAGACTCTCTAAGAGAGGTGGGGTCCATGAGCATCATAAAGATTGAACTTGGGAAATGCCCGTAAACTGGTGGCAGGTATGAGTATTAGGATAGTGTGGTTTCAAATATGCCAGAGAAAACAAAGCCTACATAGTTCGTTGATAAGGTGGAACACTCTTGCTGCAAGAAAGAAAAGTTTGGAGTGAAGACCATTTAAGTTTGGCAAATACGCAGTAAAAATGAAGAGATGAAAAAAAGAATGATAGAGCACCACCTGGTGGTAGGCATTAGATTTTTTTTTAAATGAAGTTTTTCATCCTTATATTGAAATGTTCTTTCTGTTTTGGTTTTTAAATTTTAATCTATTTTTTTAATACAGTAGCCTAGTGTGTGAATGGATGAATTTGTTTACTTTCTAATTAGTGGTGTGGGCGGAGCTTTGATTTCAACTTTGCCAAAAGCCCGTACGTCACATGGCTCTTTAGATCCGTCTCCATCACATGAAGACCTGCATTAATTACTTCAGGTTATACGGTTAGAGCTACCCTTCACAGGTCCCCATGGTCTCATCATCACCTCTGAATTACCAAAAAGAAATAATCAAGTCTATTTAAAGATTTCATGATTCTGAATATTTAGTTTGTGTTTTAACTCAGTATATAGTACAGGAGTTTAAGTTTATAAGCTTAAAGCTTTTGGGGTGCCTGGGTGGCTCAGTTAGTTAAGCGCCCGACTTTGGCTCAGGTCATGATATCATGGCCCATGGGTTCGAGCCTCACATCAGGCTTTGTGCTGACAGCTCAGAGTCTGGAGCTGCTTCAGATTCTCTGCCCCTTCCCCACTCATGCTCTGTCTCTTGTAAAAATAAATAAAAACATTATTTAAAAAAAAACTTTCAAGATGAATAGCAGTAGAAACTTTTTTTTTTTTTTTTAATCCCAAGGGAAACCTACATCCTTGAAAGATGCACAGCCGTCTTGGGTGAATTTGCTTAGACCACTTCCTAAACGCAAAACGTCTTTGAAAAGTTCTGCTCTGAGGAGGACAGGAAGCGCGTCCTCTGTTGCCAGCATCCACGGTGATCTGAGCACTTACAGCAATAACTGTAAGTCGGTTTGACGCCAAAATTCACGGGTCGTTGAAAGCATAGTTACAAGGAAAATCTAATGTGCTACAGATAATTAACAGAATTCTGATTCTGCAGTTTAGGGGAAAATGTGAATACTGCTTCTCCTTTGAAATGCCTCTAAAAGTTTGGCAGGAAGAGCAAATTCTTTAAGTGACATTCATTTCTGATGGACATGCTCTGAAACAGAGAAATATTTGTGTTGAAGGCACCCGGTATGTTTTCTGCATGGAAGATTCTCAAGTGTACCATCGGAAGCAGTGGTGTTTTTCAGTTTAAGGAATGAAAGCAGTGTAAGGGCTGTTGGAACCCACCTGGATATCAAAATGAGAACTTGTTTGATTTCTTTGTAAAAGACTATATTTTGCAGATGCGTGTTTTATAATCTTATATTCTAGATGCTAGAGTCCATGTACTCTGACTAGTATAACTTGAACCCTAATTTTAAGTAATATAAACTCAGCATATTTCTAAAGTTTCCGGTTAGGATGAATTCTGTTTTCCGCGTATAAAACAGGCGAATCAGTTGAGCCATCTTTTTCATTCAGAGGATGTACTAGGGCTTCGTATTTATTTGCTCGCTTCCTTTTTAAAATTCCTTACAAAATAATTCACTGATTTATGACTTGGAACAGTTGTGGAGTGTCTCCTATGCTCGGGCCCCACAGTAGATGAGGGCAGGGATATGAGATGCAAAAGAGGTGGTCCTTCTGTAAAAGGTAGTTGAAGAGGATAGTTACATGGACAGCTAGAATGCTGGATGTCCTAAGGTTATTTCGGGTGAGGTGGGGAGGAGGGCAGCTCCCTCTGTTTCGAGGACACAGTGGAGTCCTAATTACTGAACCTGCTGTGTGCGGGCATTGCTGTGAGGTTGCCATGCGTTGTTTCTTTTTTTTTCTTTCTCAAATAAGTTGCACCACTACCCCGATTGTTTATATGAGGTAATTGAGGCTCAGAGAGGTTGTCGCTGGTCCGGGGCCCTCAGCCAGCTTGTGACAGAATTGAGACTGTGAATGTGTGAGGAGAAGGCGCCGAATTAATGAGCACATTTCCGAGAGGTCACTTAGCAGCACCAGCTTGTCTCCCAGGCTAGTAAGTAGCTGTGTGCCGGAACTCCGGGGATATTAAAATGTGTTTCTTAAAAAATGAAAAAAGAGTAGTATCTGCTTAGTGTTGCGATTTTAAATCTGTGGCATAAAGTCAGAAAGGTTTGCATGTAACCAGTGAGTCTCCGTGGATTTAAAAAGGAAGTTCACACGTGTATTATTTTAAGGTGTCTGACTCTGTCGGCAGTGTGAATTTTCAAAACAGACGACCAGAGAGAAGCGGCAGTGTGACCTCAGAGGGCCGGGTAGCAGTGGAATTCGTGACACTTGGAGGCAGACCTGTCCCGCAGTGCTGCCATCCAGCATTTTCCATTGACAGCCATGTTGACTTGGCCACCGTTTCAGTACTGTGTCTGACTCTCCGAAGGAGGTTGTGAAATGCTTTTGTCCGTTCCTTTTTTGTCCTGTCACAAAGGAGTCTCCCATATGCCCACAGAGCCCGTCTAGTGGCGATGTGTCCCCGTTGCAGATTCAGCATTCAAATCAATGAGTCTTTCTTAGTTTGATTTGCTAGCTGGTTTAATCTGTTTTGTGCTGTGCCTTGGAGCTTACAGATCTTTCCCCCCCTCCATTCTAATTCACTGAGAGCAAGCATGAGGGGTAGGGGAGGGAACATGGCTGCGGTTCCTGCCTAAGATTGCTTTGATCTTTTTAAATGACTGTACCAGGAGGATTTCGCAGTTGTACAGAGACGGAGATTTCTTCAAAAATATTTATCAATTCTACACTCACCCCACCGGCTGGTTCAGAGAGGCACTATGATGCTACCTTATTGACACTGCTGGTCCTGGGATCCTACAGCCTTTGTGTAGTTCCTTTGTTAGCCACGCTTACTGGGAAAAGAAGTAGGTCGACACTTTCTGGTTTGATTCTTTTCTTTGTAAGCATGCTTAAATTGTATTCAATAAATAGATGTAGTGTCTCTCGATTGTTATTTTTGTACCTTGTGGTTTGTTAATAGTAATACTTCTTTGGCATGTTTATGTTTCATTTGTGAATGGTTCTAACTAGAATCTGTTTTGTAATCTATTTTCTGTGTTTTCAGAATCTTAATTCAGTGGCATTGTTAACATTCTGGGCATGTGAAGTTACCTTATTATTGCCTTCTTATTAAAGATGATTCGGCCTCATTTGTGATTAAATAACCAATAGTTTTGTGTATGTGGTTTATAGTTGTATGAATACAGAAAAACATTTTCCTAGAATTAAAACCTTGTATCTTGGATTATTTTTTTCTGATATTACATGCAAAAACATTAAAGATGTGTGCCTTTTAAAGGTAACCTTACAACATGAAAAAAATCATTTTGAACTGAAATTTTTCTGTTCCTGGTCATAATGGGTCATGTGAGAAAATAATCTTTTGATCAGTGTTTTGATTCATACTGGGTTAAACGTTAAACCCCTTTAAAGAATGTGTTCCTGCTTTGTCTGCTTGTTTCTTTGTGATATGATACTGTTAGTTGTGTCATTTAAGAACTTCGGAGGTTGCATAGTGCTGTTGTAAAATTAACAGCTGGTTCTTGGTACTTCGGAATCCTATAGAAATACCATTGAGTTATAAAACAAATGACTAAATTAAGCTTTGGTAAGATGATGGATTTCTTTTATTTGGAGGTTTTAGCTCGTTCTTTGTATGTGTCCTTGTAAGCATAGGAAATTTATCAGTGATATTAGCCTGAAATATTGCACGATAGTCTCTGTCATATGTGCTCATGTATAGAGTTTAAACATTTATAAGCTCTTTCAGACTCCACTAAAATCCAGTTTTTAAGACCATTGGATAAAAACACATATTACAGGTCTTGAATAAAGTTGAAGGTTTCAGGGCCATTGTGTAAGTTTAGAAGGAAGTCTTCGGAGAGTTTAGAATTTTGCTCTGTTAGCAAATGTGAAATCCAAAGGCTTCCTTCTTCAGGTTGGCCGCAAAAAAAAAAAAATATTTTTGAGAGACCGATAGTAAGGTGGGAAATGTAAGAGATGCATACCAAAGCTGTTGGCACTCTTCTGGAAGTGGGAGAACTGGAAGGTGGGTAAAGAATCGGAGTATTCTTGACCTTCACCTTCATGGCCAGCCCCGGCTCAGCTGATGTGATACATAGAAAGGGCGTTTACCCCTGTCTCCTCTTAGTTTCCCTAACTCAGGGGAAGCTGGATGATCTTCTATCCTCTGAGCCCCAGGATTCTCACCAGATAAATGGGAGGGCTGTACCACATCATCTTCAGAATCCTTGTTTCTTCCACTTGGATTTTCTTCACTACAGTAAGATGGTGTCTAATAGTCTGGAAGGTGGGTGTCTGAGTTGTTGAAGAGATCAAGTTGATGAAAGAATTACTCTTATTTACCCACAGTCTGAGGACAAAGGAGTATTGCCTCACCTGCCAACACTGGTCAGTTGGTCACATGCACCTGGAGTAGAGTGTTGAAAGGTTTTCAGGCTGCATCTGGGTTCAGAGCCAAAGTTTGTGTTTGACTAGTGATGTCTGCCACTGGCGAGGAAGGGATGCGAAGCAGTGTATGTACTCTAGTCCTGGATTACACGTTTAATACTTATGCACATCTGAATTGACTATGTAATAAGAAAATACTATTATCTAGACTGGCATTAATTCTGTTTTCATTCTTTGAGTGTTTTTCTAGGGTATGTATGAGACATTCTTGTTATTACACAGTTGAGTAATTTTGCATTTGGAATCTGAAAGCGTAGACTTCAGTAGCAACTTGATTTCCAGCCAGGTGGGCAGATGATCTGGCACAGTGGGTAGCGTTAGACAGATTGACAAAAAAAAAAATTCGAGAAATAAGCAGAATGTTGGTTCTGTGCATATACATAACTCAATAAACGAAAACACAAACTGATGTTAACCAGATGCCAGAATGCAGTATGAAATGTTAGTATACAGATAAGTCTGCAACAATGAGAAGCCCTTCTGGGATAAGAAAATAATGCCTTCTGTCTAGGCTTCTCTGAGAATGTCTTCACTTTCTCCTGAGACTTTCTTATCTCTTTTACTCTTGTTTATTTCATTTGAATCCCATTTTGATCATGAGGAAATGAAACGAAGGATTCCAGAGAATCTACCATTCTGGCATATTTGAGGTAGCCAGGACCAAGAATCAAAACACAACAAGGGAGGTTCTGAATTGTGATTAAAGCTGCTGGGAGCTGGGTGACCACATGTGTGATATCATGTATTGACTCTACAAACCGTCACTGAGGGGTTGTGGCCCCTGCAGCACTGTGTCGAGAACTGAGGATGCACATGGCTTCAGTGGGACTATCACAGGAAACCCTTCAGTGTCTCCTCCTGTGTAGGGAAAAGCCGGTCCTGTCTCGTGTATGTGTCCTTGACTCACGCTGCTCCCCCACTCACCACACTTCACTTATTCTAACCAGATGCGCGGCAGTTCCCTGAGACACCAGGTGGGTGGTCTGCAAAATCCTGACACTGTCTACCCGAAACAGCATCCGATTCCGCAGGCTAAGGGCTCAGTCCTGCAAAGCTGCCCCTCCCCCCTTGAGATGACAGCTGCAAGTCCAGTTTTTCACCTGTGCTTCTCACAGCCCGGGTGTACTAGGAGGTTTCAACGACTCCTGTCTTGGATCTGGTAAATTTGCTCGGGCCGCTCACAGAACTCAAGTGAACATTGACTTACATTTGTCACTTTATTGTGAAAGGATATGACAAAGGATGCAGATGAACATCTGGGTGGGATTGACGTGTAGGTCAGGCTTACATGGCAAGGGCAGGGAGTATCTGTCCCCTCTCCAGGCTGCCACTCTTGGACTGTGTCCACCAATTCAAGCTCTCCCAGCTCCATAGTTGGGGATTTTTATGGAGACTTCATGGCATAGGCATGATTGATCATTAAGTTCGTTTTTAGCTCTTTTCCCTTCTGAAGAAAATGAAGGGTGGGGATCGAAAATTCCAAGAGTCTAATCATGACATGGTCTTTCCAGTGACAAGCCCCCCTCCAGCAACCCACATGGAGTCACCTCATTAGAACAAAAGATACTCCTTGTCACCTAAGAAATTATGGGGATTTCAGGAGATCTGTGTGAGGAATTGGGAGCAGAGACCCAACATACATTTTCTACTCTCTCACAGGTACTGAGTACCGTATTTGTTTAGTGAGGGGCCTGTGAGGGCATATGGACCATTTCCAAACTTGATTTTCAAACCCAGTCATGATACATAGATAAAGGGAGGCAGGTGAGGCAGTGGCCAAGTCAGGACCAGAACTCAGATATAACAAATTCTATTCCATTAATTGAAACTGTGATATTAATATTTTGTAACTTTTGCCACCAAGTGTTTATCATTTGGATGTAACTGAGGGGAGAAACTGTCTCAGGGGGAAACTGAGACACCATCACACCATCAGAATACCCAGTCAGCTGCCGTGTTAGGAACTGAAAATAGCAGACAGGAGAAGTACTTTCAGGAGATCATGTCTCATAGAGAAGTGCATCCTTCAAGTTGGGGTTTACTAGAAAGCAGCGCACCAACTGAAGAGTATTTAGGGAATTGAAAGATGTGTAATTGTTGGTCATAAAAATGTGTGCAGCCCAGCAGTTTGTCTCTACCATTACTGAGCTGGGAAAAAAACAAAGGCAAGAAGTGTGTATGTAGATGGTCAGAAGGACTGTGTGTGTGCACATGTGTAAGTGTATGTGTGTAAATGATGGTACCTAGTCAAACTCAGAAATGTTATCCTTCTACAGGAATTTTGACCCTCCCATGTTGTAAAGTTGATGATAGATCTGGTGCTGGACCTGGTGTTTACGCTGAGCTGAAGAGTGGTGCTTTGTTTCCAGGACAACACCTCCTGGATGACAGGGAGCCAAGGCACAGGACTATTATGTCTCTGGAGAAATTTGTCTTGGCTTTAGTGAGAAATCCTTTTAGTCTGTTCTATGGAAACTGAATTTCTTTGTGTTTAAAGCTTAGAAATGAAAAGTATGAATAACTCTAAGATCATGCAGTTTTCTATTAGGTCTGTAAATTAAACTCAACTTTTCAAAATCTGAATAGGTCTTATTTTCTGCTGGCTATAATTTTAAAAACATTTCAAGAAAAGACTAAAATCCAAATTGTTATAATACTTGTCAAGACTTCAATAACATCATTTACTTCCTTTTAGGGTTTTGATTTAGCAAACGCTGAAATGCTAATTGAAGCCCAATATCCATTTTGTATGAAAATCTAAAAGATAAGCTCTATGAAATTTTGATTCTGTTCTCTTAAAGACTATGAAATTCTGTCCCACATCCTTTAAAAAAGTTATTGAATTATATGATAACAGTATCTTCACTGTTACCATGTACATTAGCTCCTTGTAATTTTCAGTTTCAGAAAGACCAAGTCTTTAGGTTCTGAGGAAAGAGAACTGGAAAGAAGAATAGGAAATTGACAGAAGCCTCTCAGTAGGAGGGAAGACTCTGCTGATTTGACCTAATATTGGAAATGTTACATGGGCACAGGAAAATAACAGATGGCTCATTGTAGATGGACTTGACATATATCAGAGAAGAATAACAGCGTGTTTTTATGTGTTTAATTGTGACCTCTATAAACGCTGCTGTAGGAGTTAGGATAAGTTAGTCTAGTGAAAAATGTCTGTCTTCAAATTCATAACATAGTTGTAAGCAAGGTAGAATCTGACCCTTTTCTAATATGAGGTGAAGAAAGGAATCAAAGTTGGTAATAAAGAAATTTATGACTAGGTGTTGAATTTGAGAACAGAACTGGATGCCCAGAACTAGGGGGTGGAACATCAACTGAGAAACAAACAAACAAATCCAGTGGCAGGGAAATGAAGCTTGGGAACCAGGTAGTGAACGAATGTACCTGTAGATTTCCTCTCTGGCCCATTGAGGCTGTGGTGATAGAAAAATGCCAGTGGTGTGTATGGTTAGCAAGGGGACAAGGATAAAAAGATGAACTTTCATGGGAAGAGAGGACCAGAAAACTTTTTAAGTATTTTTGTTTGGACTGTTTTTCCCTTAACTGTGGAGAGAAAATGTCAAAGTGCTGGGTTTATATTCCTGAGTGTTGTGTAACATGGTAATTAATCTCTTAGGGAAAGCGAAACAGTACTATTAAAAATCCTGTTAGAAGCTAAGCTTATAGACAGTGTACTTTCTCGAAGATGACTCAATTATGGAGAAATATGAATTTAGAATGGTGTTGGGGTGCCTGGGTGGTTCAGTAACTTAAGCGTCCGACTTCGGCTCAGATAATAATCTCACGGTTCGTGGGTTCGAGCCCCACATCGACTCTGTGCTGACAGCCAGCTCAGAGCCTGGAGCCTGTTTCAGATTCTGAGTCTCTCTCTCTCTCTCTGACCCTCCCCTGCTCACGCTGTCTCTGTCTCTGTCTCTCTTGGAAATAAAAAGAAATTAAAAATTTTTACAATGGTGTTTTAAGGTAACCCTCTTTCCACCCTACCTCCCCCTGAGGTCATTACTGTTGCTTCCTTTTTTTTTTTTTTTTTTTAATACCACTTAATGATTTTGAAACATTTTTTTATTTGTCTTTATCTGTACATGCTGGAACTATTTTTCAAACATTTACCGTGAGGTTTTTGACACTTCTGAGATGGTTAAAATGTGGACTCCCCCTGCCGGAAACACTGCAATAAGTAATGATAATGATGTTATCTTCCTAAAATAACCACAAGTCCACTTGCATACCATTAGCAGAAGAACACTATTTCACAGGACTTCATTATAGAGCGAGTATACCGTGAGTGAACATAAAATGTGAAAATATGTTCTCATTTGGAGTTCACAGTGCAGGAATAAAGCCGCGTCCCTTTCTTTTTCCTCTGCCCTTTTCCCTGCCCCAAGTTCAAATACAAATCTTAAGGATTCTTTAGAAGATTTGGTTTCCCTTTATAATCCAATGGGAAGTGAGAAATGTGAAAGAACCCTTAAGCAACTGTGAAAGACGCTTAGTGTTTGTTTTGATATTTAATTTTTTGATGCTGAAGGGCTTTTACTGGGCAAAAGCAGAAATAAGAGTAAGCAAGACATCTATTTAAGGCTTTGCAATAATCATTTCTCCATGTTTTTTTTTAATTAAAAAAATTTTTTTAGGATTTATTCATTTTTCAGAGACAAAGACAAAGAGTGAGCAGGGGAGGAGCAGAGAGAGAGGGAGACACAGAATCTGAAACAGGCTCGAGGCTCCATCAGCACAGAGCCCGAAGTGGAGCCTGAACTCAAGGACTGCGGGTTCATGACCTGAGCTGTAGTCTGATGCTTAACCACCTGAGCCACCTACGGGTCCCTGTCCATGTTTTCAAATGGCGGTTCTGGTAGAAAATCAAGTTGTAAAGTACCATCATTATTTTTGAAAGTTGTGTTTCTTATTCTGAAGTGTCACTGTCCATTGATGTGCTAAATTTGCCCTGAGAGTCCCAGTGAAGAACCAGAGGCAAAATTAGAGACCACAGCAGAATGGAAGGTGCCCTTTCCCAGGATTCACAGGCATATTACACCTAAAGCGTAGTATTTGCTCACTTAATTTTTCCCTCTACCTTTTTTCCTGACATGTTCTCTGGGAGATATTGTAGGTTTACTTCTGTGGCAGCCCCCTCGGCCTGGTAAACTGTAGTCGTGGGCCCAAAATTAGACCACAGCCTGAACAATGTTGGTTAGATAGTTTCTCCAAAAGTTCTTGATCTAGTCATTATTTTTAGTGCCTGGAAACAAAATTTTTTTGTTTTTTCCCTGAGAGGATTCCTGTGTGAGTAGAGAGGAATGATTTACACGTCAGTTAAAGGAGGTTTTTCTTTTTTTCTTTTTCTTTTTTTCTTTTTTTTTTTTTTACAAATAGTTTATTGTCAAATTGGTTTCCACATAACACTCAGTGCTCATCCCCACAAGTGTCCTCCTCCATGCCCCTCCCCCCTCCCCCCCACATCCATCAGTCCTCAGTTTTTGTCAGCATTCAAGAGTCTCTCATGGTTTGCCTCTCTCCTTTTCCCCCACCATTTCCCCCCTTCTTCTCCCCCATGATCCTCAGTTAAGTTCCTCCTAATCCTCCTATACGTGCAAACATATGATATTTGTCTAAAGGATGTTTTTCATTATTTAGGTGGGATTTGCTTTTATGTTTTAGCTTTAGGACTCAGGCACCTTGTTCCAGGGCAGATGAGGGAGTTATACCTCCTGTCCTATAGTAAGGAAGGATCCAAACCAGCTCTCATGTCTGTTACTGTCATAGAGTGGATACATTATTGTTCTCACATTATTAACACATCTGGCTGCTGGTGTTCATTGTGATTCGATTACTGGCACATCTGCCTTGTCCCCGTGGAGACGGTTGCTCTTTATTGCTGCCCCTTGAGCGTGCTTGTCACATGGCACGGATGGCCATATGATTTATATTCCAACTTTTATTTGGGACAAAAACTTGACTGGACAAGACACATAAACTTGGATTATGCCAGGACACATGGTCACTGTAGTTAAAGCAGTATCTTCTCTTCCCAGTATGTGGTAATAACTGGCATATTGCAGGGTGCTTAGGGAGCACTTGTTGCTTCAGGGGGAAGGAAGAGATGGTGGAAAATTGATGCTGTATTTATGTATAAAATAAATGTACTCTTCTGTGTTATTACAGCCGGGAATGCCACTGTCATCAAGTATGAGGAAAAACCTCCCAAACCAGCATTTCAGAATGGTTCCTCAGGATCCTTATATTTGAAGCCTTTGATACCCAGAGCTCATGCCCACTTACTAAAAACTCCTTCAAAAGGTATGCTCCTCATTGCAGAAAAAAGAGGGAAAGCACTACTTTTTAAGTCCTTACCTTATAGAAAGTCAAATTTTGGCATCTAGTCTTATGGCATATTGAACTGTTATTTACATTCTCCCTGAAAAAAGGCACATAATGCATTTTAACATCAAGGGAGCCTTTCTTTTTCAGAGGGTCACTGGGTTCTGTAGTTAAAACTTGATGCATATAAATCAGGAGATAGATCACAGGTATAAGGTGAAAATGATTAAGACTTACAGGGTTAAATTATTTGAAGATTGTGATCCGGAACAATGAGGTAGAAATGCTTAATTTACTTCCCACCTTTGGTCCAAACCATGTTCTCCCCCCTCCCTTCTTTCTCTTCTCTTTTTTTGTATTACTCACTTAGAAATTGCCGTGGCTATGAAGAATAACTTTCAGGTTTATCATATATGTGGTGTATACTTAATATGGAGTGTTCTCATGAAGCTTTATCACTAAGTCTAAAGTGGGTCTGAAGCACATTAGAAGGTGGGTTAGTGTTTAGTGAATTGAAAGATTTCTTACCTGAAAGAAGTAGGAAGGAGAAACTTAGCTGGAATCTCTGATCCATTTTAGAGGTGGGGTTTGCTAGGTTTTTTTTTTTTTAGAAAAGTATTTTATTTATACCACTAGTAGATCCCAGCTACTCTAGTTCCTCCAGGGTATAACCATTTTATAAGTGACAGGAAAAATATCTTCCAGTATTTCAGTTTTAACAGAATGAAATTGCTTAGTTACAGAGTAAGAAGCAACTAATGATTTGGGGACACAATTAAAAATATGTATATACATTACCCTAATACCTAGGTTAAGATACATCTAACAAGTTTTCTTGATTTTTTTATTATTAATAAAAGGACAAATAGATTGCAAATGTTTTCTTTATAGACAATTTCAATTAGAAAATAATAGTTTAATGAAAGCTCTACTGTTGTTTGTATAAGTAAACTGATAATGGAGTCCAGAGAAGTATTAAAAACTGGACAGATAACATATTGTCAAATATAACTGATGAATATTTGCCTCCACAACACCATTTACAGGCAGTAGACTTTCACACATCTCAATTTTATCTTAGATTCAAGCAAATACAAGTTAGTAGGTTATGATCCTAAGGCGTAGTCACGAGCTTCTCTTTTGAACACAAAAGAATTAGCCTTTTGATTTGATAATCTCTCTATCTTTTTTCTTTTTTCTTTTTTTTTTTTGAGAGCATGAGAGGGGCAGAGGGAAGGAAGAGAATCTTTTTTTTTTTTTTTTTTACAATAGTTTATTGTCAAATTGGTTTCCACATAACACCCAGTGCTCACAAGTGCCCTCCTCCATTCCCACCCCTCTTCCCCCCCATCCATCAGTCCTCAGTTTTTCTTAGCATTCAAGAGTCTCTCACGGTTTGCCTCTCTCCCTTTCCCCCACCATTTCCCCCCCTCTTCTCCCCCATCGTCCTCAGTTAAGTTCCTCCTAATCCTCCTATATGTGCAAACATATATTTGTCCTTCTCTGCCTGACTTATTTCGCTCAGCATAACACCCTCAAGGTCCATCCATGTTGCTACACATGGCCAGATTTCATTGTTTCTCATTGCCATGGTGTATTCCATGGTATCGATAAACCACATCTTCTTGATCCATTCATCCTTTGATGGACACTTAGGCTCTTTCCATATTTTAGCTATTGTGGAGAGTGCTGCTATGAACATTGGGGTACATGTGCTCCTATGCATCAGCATTTCTGTATCCCTTGGGTAAATTCCTAGCAGTGCTATTGCTGGGTCATAGGGGAGTTCTATTGTTAATTTCCTGAGGAACCTCCACACTGTTTTCCAGAGGGGCTGTACCAGTTTACATTCCCACCAACAGTGTAGGAGGGTGCCAGTTTCTCCACATCCTCGCCAGCATCTAGAGTTCTCTGATTTGCTCATTTTAGCCACTCTGACTGGCATGAGGTGGTATCTCAGTGTGGTTTTGATTTGTATTTCCCTGATGAGGAGGGATGCTGAGCATCGTTTCATGTGTCTGTTGGCCATCTGGATGTCCTCTTTGGGGAAGTGTCTGTTCATCTCTTCTGCTCATTTCTTCGTTGGGTTGTTTGTTTTTTGGGTGTGGAGTTTGGTGAGTTCCTTATAGATTCCTGATATTAACCCTTTATCTGATATGTCATTTGCAACTATCTTCCCATTACATCGGTTGCCTATTAGTTTTGTGGATTGTTTCCTTTGCTGTGCAGAAGCTTTTAATCTTGATGAGGTCCCAATTGTTTATTTTTGCTCTTGATTCCCTTGCTTTTGGGGATGTGTCAAGTAAGAAGTTGCTGCGGTGGAGGTCAAGGAGGTTGTTTCCTGCTGGAAGAAAGAGAATCTTAAGGAGGCTTCATGCTCCATGCAGAGCCTGACACGGGGCTCAGTCCCACAACCCTGGAATCATAAACCTGAGCTGAAATCAGGAGTTGGACTCTCAACTAACTGACTGAGTCACTCAGGTGGCCCCAATTCCTCTACTTATGTTTTTTAAGATTTATTTTTGAGAGAGAGACAGAGCATGAGCGGGGCAGGGACAGAAAGAGAGAGTGAGACAGAACCCAAAGCAGGCTCTAGTCTCTAGTCTCTGAACTGTCAGCCAAAAGCCTGATGTGGGGCTCGAACCCACAAACCATGAGATCATGACCTGAGCCGAAGTTGGAAACCTAACCGACTGAGCCACCCGGGAGCCCCTTAATTATTCTACTTTTCACAGTAACTGAATGTGGCAGTAGACACAGTGGCGCGCGCAAACATGTTTTAATGTCAGGGAAAACCCAGACACATACAGGGTCCTCCTTTATCCCATCAACTAGAAATAGCTATTGCATTTCCTCCATTTTTTCCCCTCCGCATAAGTGATAGTTTTGTTTTTTGTTTTAAGAAAACAAGGGCATAATGTATACACGCTCAGGGGTGGCTCAGTGGGTTAAGCATCTGATTCTTGATTTCAACTCAGGTCGTGATCTCATGGTTTGCAGGAGTCAGGCTTCTCACTGTTACTGTGGAGCCTGCTTGGGTTCATTCTCCCTCTCTCTCCCTCTCTCTCCATCCCTCTTCTTCCCTCTCCCTCCCTCTCCCTCCCTCCCTCTCCCTCCCTCTCTGCCCTTCCCCTGCTCACATTCATTCTCTCAAAATAAATAAACTTAAAAAAATAATGTGTATACTCTGTTGTGCCTTGCTTTTTGTTTAGTGGTGTATCACAAGAGCTTCTTCATTTTAAATAGCTATTTAAGTCTATTTTCCAACTCCATGGTGGTGGACAATTTCTGGCTTTTACTATGGCATGTGGTTCTGAGGTGGGCGAACATTTTTGAATGTGAGCATTTGTCACTTCCGATTCTAATTACTTCTATGAGATATCCCTGAAAGAGGAGTTACTGGCTAAACTGTATGAATCTTGCTGAAATTGTTAATACATTACTTTTCTAGAAAGGTGTTTGTCTCTCACATCAGTGTGAGAGTGTCCATTGCTCATCCTCAACATTTGTATGTGTGTGTGTGTGTAAGTGTGTAAAGAATCCTATAGTGACTTGAGGTTCAACACCTAGTGAGTGTTGATCAATGCTTTCCCTTTTGTAAACTATTGAATAGAAAATAGGCATAAATATGCGCAAAAAGATTCTTAAGTGTGCCTGTAGGTTGTTCTTATCTGTCCATGGTCTTACGTTTCTAAAGTATCAGATGACCCCTTGCTGGGACGACATTCTTGCTGGAATGACATTGGTTTGGGAATCCGTGGTTTTTATTGATGATGATGAAGCCCCAGCATCTACTACATACACCAGTAACTCAACAGAGCTGTTAGGTGTCAAAATTTGATCCTAAATAACTTGTGGAAGATTAGAACTTCATGATTCCACTGATAAGTATATAGAATAGGGAACTCCAGTTTTCTAAAATGTCTTGCTATTGAATTTGCCAGTTTTTGTATCACACAGTTTTTAGTTACGTGGGAACGAACGATTTTCATTTATAAGGGCCACAAATGGTAAGAGATTGTGGTGTCTGTAAACTTCTCAGATAGAATGTGGCGGCTCCTCTAGCCATCTGCAGACGATTACGCTCTAGAAATGACAATCTCTGGTCAAGTGGAAGCACTTCTAGTTTTCTTCTATTGACTGATCTTTGTAGCTCTGCACTTGTTAACACCACTTGTATTTTTTATAAGCTTAGTAACGTATAACTGACAAATAAAATTGTAGTCTTCTTGGTGGTTTGATAGACATGCACATGGCGGAAGGGCCCCTGGTTGTGTTTCATATTGTGTCAGTTTGGAGAAAAAGCTTCAATATTATTTCCTTTGTAGCTGAATAGCAAGTGGGCTGGGTTTAATGCCTGGCAGGTTTAGAAATCACACACTAGTGGCTGTCTTTCATAATGCCCTGCCTTTTTTGCTGTGTTAGCAGTGGAATAGCATGAAGTGTGTAATATGTGTGTAAATCCAGCACTGTTAACATTCACATTGCAGCTATTCTTGACTGAAAATATTTTACAGTTTTCCTAGCATATTTAATTTGTGACAGTGAATTCATATCACCTTTTAACTATCATTCTGCTGTTATTTGGAAAATTATTTGAATTAAAAATTTTTAATGTTTATTACTGAGAGACAGAGACAGAGCATGAGCTTTCAACACAGAGCCTGATGCGGGGCTCAAACCCGTGAACTGTGAGATCATGACCTGAGCTGAAGTCAGATGCTTAACCAACTGAGCTACCCAGGGACCCCTGGAAAATTATTTTACAGTTAGAATATACTAGATAAAGTTGACTGTATTTCAGTGGTATTTCCCATATGAACCTAAAATTTAGATATTTTTCAAAATATTTTTTTTTGTTTTGAAAATATTTTCAGGGGCATCTGGGTGGCTCAGTTGGCTAAGTGTCCAGCTTCGGCTCACATCATGATCTTATGGTTCATGTGTTTGAGCTGCACATTGGACTCTGGGCTGACAGCTCAGAGCCTGGAGCCTGCTTCGGATTCTGTGTCGTCCCCTCTCTCCGCCCCATGCCCACTCACATGCTGTCTCTGTCTCTTAATAATAAATAAACATTGGAAAAAAAATTCTTAAAGAAAATATATTTAAAATGGCTAACTTTTGTGTGATATTTCATTCAAAATGTGGGCATCTAACAAATATTTCTTTTACTTCTTAGGTCCTTCAAGAAAAAATCTGTTTACGGCTTTTAATGTGGGTAAGTGACAACCTTAAATATGGAGAGAGAAAAAGAACCTTTTTGTAAAGTCATGTTATCGTTGAAAGCATTTAAATGTGCTTATATTGAATTTTCACTGTTTTGCTTAAAATAGAATTTTAGGTTTGTGGCGTAAACTTACTTGATTATGACTTGGATTGGCACGGGTTAAAACCTGGTCAGCATGATCGGCCAGCTATCTGACCCAAAAGGATGTTTTATTAATAATCATTTTAGTGTTTTAAAAATCCTTTTTTAAAAATGTGCTCTAAAGTGGAGAGTATACTTTTTCTACAGTAAATGTTCTTTTCAAATTTGGTAGTCTTTCGTCGCTAAATCTCCATATCAGGTTTTAACACCTTTTAACAGTTCAGCAGCTTGACATTTTTCTGTTCTTTTCTACATTTCTACTGAACAAACTTGCATCTGTCTCTAAGACAGCTCGCAGCCTCAACCCATTTGAACCACAACTGAGAATCTAAAAGTTTTGTCTCTTGAGAAGCCATAAAGAATCATAAAATGTATTCACTGCAGTTCCTATGTTTGATCTATGGCCAATCAGGTCCCCTTCTACTACCTGTGTTCTCTTGTTGTATATTCAGTGATAAGATAGTAGGTAGCTTCTAAGTACACTGGAGAGTGGAACGGCTACTGAAAAGGGAGAAAGGTATCATAGCACATTGACTACATGCTTGTGACAGTGTTGAGTGCTCAGGACACAGTGGTGAGCCAGAAATGAACAGGAGTCTTCAGAAAATTAGGCAAGAGGTATAAATTTCTGATGCCCTGTATTTAGATAGTAATTTAAGAAAATAGGGTGAATAATGTAATATACCGAATAATGAATATCCTCACTGTTTCCAAGTTGTGTCCAGTTTCTCAACTTAATAAAGCAGGGACATGTGAGGGAATTTTATCACAATTGCTAACCTTTTCTAAGGTCTTAAAGCTAGAGAAGACTCAATCATCCAACGTGACTGAAATTCTAAAGATCCCAGTTGCCTGAGTTTTAATATATTCTTACTAAATCTTTTATGATTAAAAAGAAAATGGAACTATTCTACACACTTTGAGATTTTTATTTTCTTTTGCTTTAAATTTCTAGCACATCCTGGTATTTGGGAGAAAAGGAGAGCTAATATGCTGTAGAATGACTTTATGCTAAATATCAGATAACCTTTAGGGCACCTGAGTGGCTTAGTCGGTTAAGCATCCAACTTTGGCTCAGGTTATGATCTCATGGTTTGTGAGTTTGAGGCCTGTGTTAGATTCTGTGCTGACAATTCATGGCCTGGAGCCTGCTTCTGATTCTGTGTTTGTCTCTGTCTCTGCCCTTCCCTTGCTCACACTCTGTTTCTTTGTCTCTCAAAAATAAATATTAAAAATTAAAAAAAGAAAATCAGATTGCCTTTAATAGGAAGCTATATGGTATGATAGCTCTGTTTAACTGAGAAACTGCCAGATGTTTTCCAAAGTGACTGCAGCATTTTACATGTCCACCACAGTGTATGAAGGGTCTAATTTCTTCACATTGTTGCCAATACTTCCTTTTATCTTTCTTTATTATAGCCATTTTAATGAGTATGAGATGGTATCTCACTGTGGTTTTGATTTGCATTTCCTTGATGGATAATGATGTTGAGTATCTTTTCATTCTTTTCTATGGCTAATATTTCACCTTGTGTGTGTGTGATATATATATATATGTGAATATATATATATGGCAATACATATATATGTGTGCACACACACACACATATCACTTTTTCTTTATCCATTCGTTTATCGATGGACATTTAGGTTACTTTCATACTTGGCTATTGCAAATAATGCTGCAGTGAACATAGGGGTGCATATATATATTCAAATTAGTATTTTGGGGTGCCTGGGCGGCTTAGTTGTGTTCATTTCTTGGTATTATTAGCCCAGGGTTGTGAGTTCAACCTCTGCATTGGGCTGCACACTGGCCACCCAGTGTGCTGGGTGTGCTTGTTAAAAAGACAAACAAAACAACATACAAACAAAAGCAAATTAGTATTTTCGTGTTCTTCAGATAAGTATCCAGAAGTGGAATTGCTAGATTATATGGCATTTCTATTTTTAATTTACTGAAGAACCAGCATAGTCCTTTCCATAGTGGCCACACCTGCTTACATTCCCACCAATGTCACACAATGGTTTCCTTTTCCTCACATCCTCACCAGTGCTTGCTATTTCTTGTCTTTCTGGTAATAGCCATTCTGATGGGTATCAAGTAGTGTCTCTTAGAGGTTATGATGTGTGTTTCCCTGATGAATAGTAACATTGAGCATCTTCATGTATCTCTTATCCATCTATATGTCTTTGCAAAAATGTCCATTTAGTTCTTCTGCCCGGTTGTTAATTGAACCCTTACTTGGTTTTGTTTCATTTCTGGTGTTGAGTTATAAAACTTCATATATTTTAGATATTAACCTCTTATCAGATATACCATTTGCAAATATTTTCTCCCATTTAGTAGGTTGCTTTTTCATTTTTTAATAGTTCCTTTTGCTATGCAAAAGCTTTTTAGTTTGATACTGTCCTGTTTGTTTTTTCTTTTATTGTCCCTTTCTGAGAAGACATCTCCAAAAAAAATGCTGTAAGATTGATATCAAAGTTTACTACCTGTGTTTTATTTTAGTTTTATGGTTTCAGGTCTTACATTTAGCTCTTCAGTCCATTATGAGTTTATTTTAGTGTATGGTGTAAAAAAGGGGCCCAGGGATTTGTTTTGTTTTGTTTTTTGCAAGTAGCAAATTTATTTATTGTCTTTCCCCCATTATATCTTCTTCTTTTGTCGTAGGTAAATTGACCTTACATGCATGGGTTTGGTTATGGGTTCTCTTGTTCTGTTTTATTGATGTATGTATCTATTTTTGTGCCATTACTACACTGTTTTGATTACTGTAGCTTTGTAGTAATGTTTGAAATCTGGGAGTGTGATACATCTAGCTTTGTTCTTCGTTCTCAAGATTGCTTTAGCTATTTGGGGTCCTTTGTGGTTCCATACTAATTTTAGGATTATTTGTTCTAGTACTGGGGAAAATGTTATTTGTATTTTCATAGGAATTGTATTGAATTTGTAGGTTGCTTTGGGTGGTATGGACAGAGTACAGGTTTTCACTGCACTCTGTAGGTTCTGGAATGTTGTTTTCCCATTTTCTTTTGTCTCAAGGTGTTTCGTTTATTTTCTCTTTGCATTTTTCATTGACACAATGGTAATATGTTGCTTATCCTCCACATGTTTGTATGTTTTCCATTTTTTTCCCTAATTTTTCTTGTAGTTTCATGCTGTTTTGGTTGGAAAAGATTCTTGATATGATTTCAGTCTTCTTCAATTTATTGAGGCTTGATTTGTGAACGACCATGTGATCTCTCCTGGAGAGTGTTCCATGTGCCCTTGAAAAAATATGTATTTTGCTTATATTGGATGGAATGTTCTGTGTATATCTGTTCAGTCCATCTGGCCTAATATGTCATTTCAGGCTAGTGTTTCCCTATTGATTTTTGTCTGAATGATATCTACTTGTGTATGTGGAGTGTTAAAGTCCTCTAGTTTAACTGTTGTCAGTTTCTTCCTTGATGTCTGTTAATATTGGCTTTATCTTTTTAGGTACTCCTATGTTGGTGCATAGATGTTTACAATTGGTAAATTGTTTTTGTTGGATTGAACCCTTTATTTTTATTTATTTATTTATTTATTTTTTTACAAATAGTTTATTGTCAAATTAGTTTCCACATAACACACAGTACTCATCCCCACAAGTGTCCTCCTCCATGCCCATCCCCCATCCCCCCCACATCCATCAGTCCTCAGTTTTTGTCAGCATTCAAGAGTCTCTCATGGTTTGCCTCTCTCCCTTTCCCCCATCACTTCCCCCCTTCTTCTCCCCCTTGTTCCTCCGTCAAGTTCCTCCTAATCCTCCTATTTGTGCAAACATATGATGTTTGTCCTTCTCTGCCTGACTTATTTCGCTCAGCATAACACCCTCAAGGTCCATCCATGTTGCTACACATGGCCAGATTTCATTGTTTCTCATTGCCATGTAGTATTCCATGGTATCGATAAACCACATCTTCTTGATCCATTCATCTGTTGGTGGACACTTAGGCTCTTTCTATGTTTTAGCTATTGTGGAGAGTGCTGCTATGAACATTGGGGTCCATGTGCTCCTATGCCTTAGCATTTCTGTATCCCTTGGGTAAATTCCTAGCAGTGCTATTGCTGGGTCATAGGGGAGTTCTATTGTGAGTTTCCTGAGGAACCTCCCCACTGTTTTCCAGAGAGGCTGTACCAGTTTACATTCCCACCAACAGTGTAGGAGGGTGCCCGTTTCTCCACATCCTCGCCAGCATCTCGCGTTCTCTGATTTGCTCATTTTAGCCACTCTGACTGGCATGAGGTGGTATCTCAGTGTGGTTTTGATTTGTATTTCCCTGATGAGGAGGGATGCTGAGCATCGTTTCATGTGTCTGTTGGCCATCTGGATGTCCTCTTTGGAGAAATGTCTTGAACCCTTTATTGTTATGTAATTTCCGCTTTTGTTAATTCTACTTTGTCTGATAGAAGTATTGCTGTCCATTTTCTTTTTGTTTCTATTTGCAGTGCATATTTTTTTCCATCCCTTCACTTTTAATCTGTGTGCCTACATGGAAAGGGAATCTTTTGTAGGCAACATATAGATGGGTCTTGTTTTTCATCCTTTCAGCCAGTCTGTGTCTTTTGATTTGAGCATTTAGTTCATTTACATTTAAAGTAATCATTGAGATGTATGAATTTATTGCACTTGTGTTGCTTTCTCGCTGTTTTTGTAGTTCTTTTCTATTGCCTTCTACTTCTCTTGCTCTCTTCCCTTGTGTCCTGATGATTTTCTTTTTTTTTTTTTTTTTATTTTTTTTTATTTCTAGGAGAGAGAGACAGCGTGAGCAGGGGAAGGTCAGAGAGAGAGGGAGACACAGACTCTGAAACAGGCTCCAGG